AAGGGCTGTGGGAGGGCAAGAGTGGGAAGCCAAGTGCATCAGGGTTTGACCATGCCTGGGCTGGATCACCCACCATCTCCAGGCACTGGCTGTCCATCTAGGGTCTGGGGGCCCTTCCCTGCTGTAAAACAGGTTTGCAAGATGCCTGTGCTCGTTAATTCTAACAAGGTCCATCCTCCTAGGCTGAAAGACTCTGAGGAGTGTGAGGAGAGGGCACAAGATCAGCACCAGGCTCCGCAACTGCTGCGCCTGGGGAGGAGTGGGGCAGCCGTGGGGGCTCTGCAGGTGCCCGGTCGCAGCCGTCTCATGTGGTATCTGGGCGCCGCAGGCAGCTGCGAGCTCTGATAGGACCCTATCAGCGACAGGGCTGGCGGGTGCAAGTCCTTCCGCCCTGGGTGCGGGTGGCTTGGGACTGCATCCCCAGAGGGGATCCCTCCCCAGCAGTGGGGAGCAGAGACCCAGGGGCGAGGGATGGGGAGACCACGCGGTGCTGGGTGCCTGCGTGGAGCTTGCAGGCAGGTATCCCCAGTCCCCATCTTCTCTCTGCCTTGCAGCGTCTCTGCCCTTCGTCATCCTGACACTGGTGAACTCCCCATACAAGCGGGGCTTCTACTGCAATGACGACTCCATCCGCTACCCCTACAAGGCAGACACCATCACCCATGGCCTCATGGCTGGGGTCACCATCACCTGCACCGTTGTCATTGTAAGGACATGCCATCCCCTTCCCTCTGGGGCAGGGACATCCTGGCACATTGTATCCAGGAGCTGGGTCCCAGCACAGCCCACCTCCAGACCCCTGACAGGGCAGCAGGATGCTCGGGTTGAGCCCTGCTCTGCTGGGGGTCAGGAGTCAGGAGCTCCCTCTGGGGCGGTGAGACCCACGTCTCATGGGGCTGGCTCCCTGCAGGGAGTGGAGAGGCCCCTTGAGCTCCTGTGGTGGGCAGGCGCCGGGGCCCCTTTGTCACAGACCCGAGAGCCAGAGCATCCCGTACCCTTGGTGCTGGGGAGCTGCTCGGTAGCCCCAAGACCCTCACCCCTTGCCCCTTGGTCTCTGCAGATCTCATCAGGGGAGGCATACTTGGTCTACACAGAGCGACTCTACTCCAAGTCAGAGTTCAACAACTACCTGGCTGCCCTCTACAAGGTGGTGGGGACCTTCCTCTTCGGGGGGGCCATCAGCCAGTCCCTGACTGACCTGGCCAAATATATGATCGGCCGTCTCCGGCCAAACTTCCTGGCCGTCTGCAATCCCGACTGGTCCAAGGTGAACTGTTCCATCTACGTGCAGCTGGAGAACGTCTGCCAGGGGGAGAGCAGGAACATCACCGAGTCCAGGTGAGCTGTGGGGCCACGGGACGTGGCACCTCCACCTGCCTGGCAGTGCTGGGCTCCTGTGGTCTGTTGGCAGCCCCAGACAGGTATTGATGCTCTCCTGCTGCAGGGCAGGGCCTGCAGAGTGGGTGGGGAGCTTATAGGGGCACTGGGGGCTCGCGCTCATGGCCTGACCCATCCCTCTTGCCCTGCAGACTGTCCTTCTATTCTGGGCACTCCTCCTTTGGGATGTACTGCATGATGTTCCTGGCGGTAAGTGCTGTGCTCCGGGTGTGCTGTGCGCAGGGAGGCAGTGAGCCCCCACAGGTCCCATCCACCCAGGCGGACCGGTGCCCTGAGCACTCGGTCTTCATGCTGGTTGGTGCCCCTTGCGCCGGGTGATTGCTTCCCCCTTCCCTGCCTAGCTCTACGTGCAAGCCCGGTTGGTGGGGAAGTGGGCCCGGCTGCTGCGCCCCACCATCCAGTTCTTCCTCATCGCCTTCGCCATCTATGTGGGCTACACAAGGGTGTCCGACTACAAGCACCACTGGAGCGATGTGCTGGCAGGGCTGCTCCAAGGGGCTCTCATTGCCGTCCTCATCGTGAGTGTCCCCTGAGCAACCCGGTGCTCCGCCAGGTTGCCACTGGCTGCAGCTCAGCCTGCCGGAGGGGTCCCCGAACCCTCTTCCTGTCCGTCTCTTCCAGGTCCGCTATGTCTCTG